ATGTCCTTTCTGAAAGATGTTAATGTCATAATAAAAAAAAACAAAAAAAAAAAAACCAAAAACCCAAAAAACCCAACAAATACACGAGTAGATAATAAGTAGGGTTTTTCTTAAAACAAAATATTTCATTTCGCTGGATATTTAAATGTAAGAAAAGGTAAATCTGTGACCAGATATTCTCAGGATTGCAAGCTTTGGCACAACACCAAAATCTCTGCTCTTGCAATGAACTGATTTATGCTGCTGGATTTTGCTTCTTACACATTTGACTTGATTCAGTTGTTTATTTGCTTCCTTGCTTGTGTTTGCCTTAAATTTCTGTGACTGCTGTGGCTTTCCATTGGCAAAAGAGAATCTTCTGTTTGAGCTTTTTTTTCATTAGTGAAGCCCACTTGCCATTCAGACGTTAGTCTTGAGATCACAAAGGTTGTCAAAGGATTGATGCTGGAAAAAAAAAGGAGCAGAGCTGTTAATCTTCCTTTACCATTGTATAACCTGTTAATATTGATTTTCAGTTAAACACACTCTCAGCCCTCATTTTTCATAATGAACAAAGGTAGGTGTGAACCAGCATAATGATGTTTTCATACGTCTGCTAACAGCTCCAATATAACTTGGGCTCTTGTTATTTAAAAAAACCCAATCAAGCTATAAGCTTCTAAGTAGTGAGTCTAGTTGTTCTTGTGGTTACTTCTTGGTGCCCCAGGAAGGTGCCCCATCAGAGAGATTATTGACAGTGACTGGGAGTGTTTATGATAAATGTAATTGTGTCAAGGAACTTCTTTTATGCATTTTTAATGTTGAAGAGATTATTTCTCTGGCTCTTTTGCTGTGTATCTTCAATTGGTCTTCCTTCTATATTCTTAAATTAATTTCTTCAGTGTGATGAGGCAGTAAAAGAAACATCAGTAATAGTATGAGCTCGTGGTTTGAATTACTGTGCAAGTGTGAGGCATTTTGCAGCTGGTACCCTGAGCAACTACTCACAAGAACAATGTTATCTTAATACAAGCAAAGTTGTAACAGCTGTTGCAGGGTTTCCTGTGGTGCATATATGGTGTGCTGTAAGAGCTAGAGGAACTGTTTTGAGGAAGAAGACTTGCAATGTTTCAAAGTTTATTTTCATTATTGTAGGTGATCTTAGGAAGGTGAAGATTGCTGGCTAGGGAACTGTTGAGCTTTAATCTGAAACCTGTCCCTGTTCTAATGTGCATTGTAAGAGAGCACGCAGAGAAGTAAGGAGCAGACTGATGTTCTTCCTGGTAAAAATTACTAGGTGTAAGGGTGACATATATGTTGTATGCATTTGGTTTTTTGTTTTTTTGTAATTCACAGAGGCATTTCTGATCTTCTTTCACTTCTTTCCCATATTCCTTCAGGGCCGGGATGACACTGCTGAGTTGAGATTTCATCTGGCTTTCAGCGTTTGAAGTGTTGAGCTCCAGTTTCTGTTTTCTTTCTGAGGATGAGACAGCTCATCCAAACACATAGTTAAACAACTCATAACACTAACAGCTAATAGTGCTCAATTCTAATCCTTCCACTTCTCCCCCCTTCTGTGACTTCTCTTGCATTAAATTATAGGATGGCTTCCCAGTCATCTTGTTGCAAACAAGCAAAGAAGGTCCTTTGGGCAGATAAAATTTGTAATATCAAATTTAGTGGTACAAGCAGTGTATTGGGTTTTAGTCATATTGTTGTTAGTCCATATTATACGTCTTTTTCTGTCCTGCCCCAATTGCAAGAGCTCTTTTCTCAGCTTTTTCTCAGCTGTAATTTTTGGTAATCACAAAATTGCCAATTTGTAATTGGTAGAGGTATTTGCATTAAAAAAAAAAAGTAACTTTACATGGGGAGTATTCCTGTTTTGAAGTTCAAGGATAAGATGGTAATTTGAGGTGGTGTGTGGAGCAGCACACTATGGCCTCTGTGTGTGCAACTTTTTGGTTTTAGGATCCAGCTTGGTTTCAGCATGAAGGCTTGTGAGAAAGCCTGTCTGAAGCAGTTTGTCCATGTTTTGAATAAAGTTTTATCCAGGAGTGATGAAATGACGAAGGCCTGATGCAGACTGTCATACTTTTTAATAGATAATGGAGATTTTTTTTAATAGATGTACCATAGCAAGACACATTTCCTTCCCTCTTTTTTTGTCCTCTGCTGCACAACTTCCTTGTATGCTGAGTTCCTACAGGTCTGGGTGGGAGGGGAGAGACAGGGCAGAGGTCTTCACTGAGTAATTCTGAGAGCTAGAACTCAAGAGTCCACATGATCAAAACCTAAATTCTGTGCTTTTGGCTGAGCTGTGGACCCAACTGCTCTGAACTGTTGGATCTGAGCAGAGGTATGTAAAATGCCATGGAGGGACTGGGTAGTGTTGAGCAGCAGAAATAAAAAGGTAGTTGAGGATAGAGGTAGTTGAGGATTTGTGTGTGTCTGGGCTCTTTCAGTCTATCCATTCAGTTAAGTGTGGTGTTACTTATCAGGAGCCAGAGTAGCTAGGGCTGAGTCTGTTGTATAAAGCCTGCCATCTTCTGGCTGTAGTGCTGAAACGTTACTTTTATGTCTACAAGTGGTTTTTTGCAAGCCTCTCGAGGACGATGTTAATTACATATGTTGCATGTAATCTTGGAAAAGTACCTTTTCAATTTGAGAGTCTTTCCTTTTAAAATTGTGTATTTTTAATATTAGTGTCATTTCACTGAGAAGCATTCCTATTGTTTCTTATAAGCAATATAGTGATTAAAAATAGTGAAGATATTAGTGCTTTGACAGTTTTTAATCTTGTTCTTAAGAATCTATGCAATTTTCAGTTTCCTCAGTTTAGTATTGTGAATTCTGATTATTTTTTTTACTTCTGCAAAAAGTATGAAAACTGAAGAATGTGCTAGCTGTTATCTTACTGCATTATAAACATCTAGATTGTAAACATCTAGAACTGATATATGCTACTGCCTTTAGTAGGGAAATGTGAGTATCCCAGAGAGAAAAAGAATTAACTTCAAGGTGGAAGAACTTGTGTTAGACATTTAAACACAACTGCTTGTGCCATCTAAAGGCTACTAGTAATTTTGATTACTGAGTATTTTTTTCCTTTTCCCCGTTTTTGATAGTAGCCTGTCATAGCATTATTTGTGGATAATTAATTTAGGCTGAAAAGCATAGTATTTGTGTTGCATTACTTTTCTCATTTGACTAATTTGTTTGCATGTGCTATTTTAGGGAATAAACCTCTAGAAACTAACTGCTTATGTAGAAATGAAAGATAATTTGAGTAATTTGAAAATCTTGTGTGTTTGCTTTTGTAAAGGAGGACACCTGTTCTTCTGCACCAGTGCAGTTTCAGTGATTCAGCAGACTGTTGTATAGGCAGGATTTGGGTATCTTTCCTCAGATATGTATAACTTTGCCACTATGTATGATTAGAAAGCAGTTTGCTTATGAAGGACTTGCTTATAGAGAGGGAATATAAAAGCTTCTTTGAGAAGTTGGTCTGTTAATTGGAAATGGGCTATTTGCACAATTCCTGAGTGAATAAAAAGCTATGAAATTAGTTTACTACTTTCCACCCTATGGAAAGAGCCTTCTGATGGGAAAGCTTGTTTCTTCCTACTCTGATACTGTTGAAGGTAGGCCATTTTAACTGTGGCTAGCTAAACAGAAAACAAGAGAAGCCTTTAATAAACAGTTTCCCCTTTCTGTGTATGTGTCTCAGGCTTGTTTGATGCTCTTGAGTTTCCCCTGTATTTTCTACAGCCAGTGAAATATTAAACTATTGCTTGTCAGATGAGAAAGCAGGAAAGCATTGATTTTAATTAGCGTAAATTAAGCCAAGATAAAGTGCTTTATTTGTGTCTCTCAATAAGATTCAGATTGCACCTTGTTTTATTACTTAGTACTCTACTTTGGGGGCATTTCTAGACTTTCTTACCACTTTCTGTCATTCCAGTTACACAAGAAAAGAAACGGACTTCAATGGCGCTCAAATGAAGGTTCGAGAGCTTGAAGCAGCTCTCAGTTCTAAAGAAGGTGCACTGGCCACAGCACTTGGTGATAAGAAAAGTCTGGAGGAAGAAAATGATGATTTAAGAGACCAAATTGTACAGGTGAGAGGAAGTATTTAACTGCTAAGTTCTTCCAATGAATGAGGTACTTTTAGATATAAAAATCTATAGTGAGAGCTGACATTTTGGTTAAATGCAACCCTGTAGCCAAAAAATGAATGCCAGCCTGCAGTCTAGTCACAACTAGAACAAACTGGTTCACTATCGACATTGGAAGCAGTACTGAATAGGTGTCCGTGTCCACTACTGTTCAGTTTATTAATAACATGAATGGTGGAATAGACTGCTTTTAAAATTGCAGACTTCAAAATTGGAAGGGATGTTACTTGTGATCAAAAAAGCAGGTCAAGAGTCAAAATAAACTTGGCAAATTGTAGAACTGTTTTGGGGTAGAGACTGACTTGACAATGCAGACAACAAAAACCTGACGAATAAGTTTGTGGTTCTCTCTGCCCTCCTTTTGGTTCTGCTTGTGGTTCCCAACATTCTGAGCATCTGATAAAACAAAGGGGGAAGTCTTGTGCTAATTTTAACCTTTTGGCACACATAATTCTGTCTTAAGTAATACTACCTCAAGAAGATGAGTTGAGCAGACCAGGAAACTGGTATTTGACAGGTAGAAAACCTGAAGCTTTGTAAGGAAAGTTGCTAAGTAACATTTTAATGCTAGTTACCAATGTGAAATCTAGAATTCACTTCTGTGAGTGATTGCAAGGGCAGAAAAGACATTAGTGGCGTAAATACTGGATTTGGTTGTGCAGTTCAACCATAGCAGTGCACCTAACCACATGTTAGGTAGCTGAGGTCGTTACGTTATGTGAGTTCTGCTACGTAATCATTGTTGTGTTGATTCTTCTGTTTTTCTTAAAGCTTGAAGCTGCTTCAGCTGCTGTCAAGGAACAGCTTGCAAATGAAACTTTACAGAAGGTTGATCTTGAAAACCGTTGTCAGAGTCTCATTGAGGACTTGGAATTCCGTAAAAATATGTATGAGGAGGTAAATTCTTCAGTCTCGAGAATTCACATCTTTTAAGGAAAGAAGACTTCTCGGGGGATCATTCTTACAATACTGAAATAATTTAAGATGGAAGATCTGAACTCTCACTTGGAGCAGGGTTTCCAACTTTTTTTTTCTAGAAAGAATGATGTTATCTTGGAGCTTTTGTAATAAAATAGCTTCATATATCATGTTGTTTCATATTAAGTTCTGCCCATGATGCACATCTTCTCATAGCGATGAGAAAGTAGGTTAATTTTCTCACATAATCCCTTTATGAGAAATAAAGTGGAGAGGGACACTCAAGCAGATGCTATTTTTTCCTGGTTTTTAATTTTTGAACTTAATAGGATGCTTCTGAATAATGGAAACAGACGTTGATAAATATTTGTCTTCTAGATCTTCTTGCCACCCTCTCTTTCACTTATAGTTACTGAAGGCTTTCCAGAAGGAACCTCAAAGCAGTTACAAATGTACCTAACCATACTGTCCTTTGTTCTGTATGCGGTTTTGCAGTTTTCCTTGTAAGTTGCATTTTCAGCTTTGTTCATGGTATTGGAATCCGTTTTTCCAGAGACCACAGGCAAGCATACAAATAATTGAGGAAAATGCTGATTAGTGAAAGTGACTGCTTAATTTCATAGTACTTTAATTTTGTACAGGCATAGAAGAGACCTGAAGAAAGGGAGGATGTCTTTCTAAAATCTAACCATATTGATGTGTATTTGGTAAAAATACAGGCAACTCTCAGGAGTGTGTCTTTACATGCTGATGGTACCTTAGCTCTTATTTCAATGATTGGCTATTGCAAAATAAGGTATCTTGGTGCATCAGACTGGACAAATGGCCCTGTGTTGCTACTGAAAGTTTCACTGTGAAACAAACTAATGCTGATCCACAAGGCTAGCTAAAATCTGCATCACTATCCACTCAGGAGATAGTCTTCTAAAACTTGTTTTGTCTCATTGTCTGAATATAATTTTTCTGTTTTTCTTAGGAAATCAAAGAAACAAGAAGGAAACATGAAACTCGCTTAGTTGAGGTTGATTCTGGGCGTCAAATTGAATATGAACATAAACTGGCCCAAGCCCTTAGTGAAATAAGAATGGAGCATGATGCACAAGTGAAGCTGTACAAAGAAGAGCTTGAACAGACTTACTATGCCAAAGTGAGAACATGTTTTCATGCCGTTGTCTGATGTACATTTTTGTTTTGTTTGATGAAAAGATATGCATTTTATTATGGAGTTTGGTATAAAATTACCATGCTTTTGAATGCAAACTTGCATTTTCTGGTATAATTTGAGTAAGAAGCACTGTGTGAAGGCAAATTGTGCGGAAAAGGTACTTGGTACTGGGATTGCTTTGAATTCAAAGGAAGTTCATGTGTTATTACATATCAACTGTAACATAGTCTTGATGATCAATAATGTGCCCTATATTTTTTTGTGAAACTTACTTCATATTAGGGCTTGCTGAGAAGACAGCATCCTGAGTCCTCTTATCCTGTACGAAATGTGTGGAAGCTTTACCACACCTAGTGATTTCTGCTTTCACTCCTCTAGAGAGGAAGTATACTCAAGCTGAAATCAGTTATACTTCATAATTTCCTTCCTCTAATACGATTCAGCATTTGTCAGGAGGGATACTGATGTCTCAACTGAAACTGGTTTCTGTGGCTATACTTGTTGCAGTTTGTATGTTTAAGAATAAGGTGGGATGTTACAGCAGAAAAGTTGATACAAACTGAATTTGTTGTCATAGTTCTGTCTTTTTAGTCTACAGTCTTTAAGAGTGCATGGATACTTGTCTTCGGGGCTTAAATCTGTCTTGGAAAATCTTACTTTGAGTAAAATATAGCCAAAATTTTTTTTAATTTATATTTTAGTCTAACAGTGCTTTCATAATTGAAGCTTTCTTTTTCCCTCTCTTCAGTGTGATGATAATAGGATGGAGCAGTAGTGATTTACGGTACTGGAATTGTAGTCTGAAGGCACATTACCAGTTTGCTTAGGTTGTCTGAAAATTAACATAAGTTCTTTTTAGAGAATTAGTAATTTAATTACAGTAACTAAATATACAATGCTAAACATTGGCCAGCAGGAAAATGAACTTCACAGTCCAACTTCAGTGATGTCTTCAAGGGAAACTTTACATTTTTAATCCTAGAATAAATATTCAGAGGACTGTGATTCCAGGTAGAGCAGTCCAGCATGGTAATTGAGCCATCATACCTAAACTCAAAAAAAAAAAAAATAAAAAAAGGATGTTTCATTGTGTTAGAACTGCAGGGAGGAGCTTTGTGGCTTAGTGTTGCATGTGGTTTTTAGTGACTCATTCTTGTAATAAAAGTTACTTTGAAACTGATGTTTTAACTTGCTCTACTGCAGCTTGAGAATGCTAAACTGTCCTCTGAGATGACCAATTCTGCAACCAATTTGGTAAGAGAAGAACTGAATGAAAGTCGCATACGAATTGATACTTTGACTTCCCATCTCAACAGCCTTCAGAAAGAGGTAACAAGCTGTTTGTGACTCTTAGTCTTGCTTATTACAGATGTCGATTTCTATATTAAAGGACTTTCCCTTAATTTGTAAGTATGTTCAGCATCATGATGTGAATTTGTCTTCTACTGTTCTGTACTACTTCAAATTTCTTAATGCCTCCTTTTGACAAAGCTGATTTTTTTTTTTCTTTTTGTGCAATATCCTGCTACAGAATGTGTACTTGAAAGGTGGTACTGTTAAGCGACTTTTGCAATAGGTGCGACAATTTTAGACAACAGCTCTATATTAAAAGTTTCTGACATTCCGTGAAATTTAGTTCTTTTCTGTAGTAATTTGGACAGTCTAGCATAGGATTCCACAGAGCAACATTCAAAGCCAGAACTGGAACATGCGGTCTTTCTCTGTTTATCTCTTTTCACCCTAGATTGTTTGCATCTAGAAGTCTTTTTTTTTTATTTTTTATTTTTTTATTTTATAAGTGAACTTACTGATTTTGAAAGGGGTTAAGAACTTACAAAATGAGCAGTTACGATGATCTGAGACCACAGCAACTGAGCACAGGAGCTGAAAGTCTTTAGAAATAGAATGCTGTAGGTACTTCAAGCTAAGCTATTGTTTAACAGGAGCTGCAACAGGACATAAGGTTAGGCAAGATCTTAATGGTAGCTGATGGGATAAAGGTATAACCTTTAGTTACCTTCGATAATTGTAATTCTAAAAAACACACCTCTAGGAGGAGGTTTCATATGTAAATATAAAACCACCTTGGTATAATGAGGTGAGTAAAAGTTGATACATGAGTGTTTTACATTTTGCTGTGTAAAATGTGGGTAAGCAATCACTTATTTTTATATGGTTCCTTCCTTGTTAGGATTTTGTATAAAAGGATTTTGTATAAAAAAAAATACCTGTTTCTTAGAAGGTATGCTGGTGGCATAGAATTGTAATAAAGGCAAGTATCTCAACTCAGTGTATTGATTGGCTTTTACACACTGGGTAGAAGAACCCTGCTTTAGGGACAACAGTTTTGACACCCCAGATGGCACTGCCATAAAGCCTTGCCCAGATTGTCTTGCCATCCCCAATAGCAGAAGAATGGATCGGATAGGACTCCAGTGCATGCCAACCAGTTGATCGGGTCTCTAGAGTCCCCTCTAGGGTCAGGGCAGTAAGCATCTCAAAGGCGCAGTGCCCAAGAGATACTTGTATCCAGGGTGAAAAGAGGAAAACTTGGATTGGCAAGTATGACTTTGTATTTTCTTTATTTCTGTCCACAGAAGGTTAAAGTTTTTTGGCCTTTTTTTTTTTTTTTTTTTTTTTTTTTTTCATGCATAGATGCTTGGTACTATGGGGAAAAGGTGCACCTTCACTGAAGCTGAGTGGGAGAATGAGGTGTTGGTTCTAATGGATCATTAACAGGATTAGGGTGAAATGAGACTGAAAATGCATCAAATAACTATACTTAAGTATTTGTAGGGCAGAGTCTTAAGCAGAAACTAATTAGACTTAGTCAGATCACAGAGTACATAGGTCACACCCAAAAGAAGTATGATACAACCTATGACAAATAAATGTTCAGTACTAGGTTATTTGATGGGAGTAACATCGTGTGTACTGCAGTAGATTTCTCATTTTCAGTTTAGATTTTTATAGAATGACTTACATTGGAAAAGACCTTTTAAGAACAAAAAGTCCAACCAGTAAGTGTTAGGAGTTGGTTCTGCAATGGGGTTCTGTAATTTAGTAATCAGTTGAAACTGCAACAAAACATTTATTTTCTTGAAAAGTATAATATATTAGTAATATTTAGCTTTGATTCTTTCTGTGATACAGTTTGAATTGTATTACTCCTGTACGGTAGACTCTTGTAGGTCTTCAAAGTTCTGTGTGTTTCAAGTGAAGAATATAAATGCAGGGGGTATTATTTCATAATTATCCAAATAACTTGGCAGTTGCAAGTATGAGTCTTCCCAGTTTTCCCATTATATAGGCAAGTTAGTCTCTGAAAAGGATAGGTGATGAGTGCACATAAGGTTACACAAGAGTTGGACTGAGACTTTTGTCTACTTACATCTTATTTCTGCCTTTAGATTACCATCACCTTTCTTTTGGGGGTTCAGTAACAGGCATTTCTGATGTTGTTTTTTTTTCTTCTTACTTCAGTAATTACCTGTGGTCTGTTGCTTATTTGTGGCTGAGAGCTAGGTTCAGAAAACTTGCTTCTGAATTTGTGGAGGTGTTGGTTGTTAACTTCAGGACTACCAAAACCAACTTCTGCCAGTTTGACTATAGTTGTCCACCAAACCCCATTTTGTTGCTGTGAGTTTGGTTTTTGTGTTGTTTCTTTGGTGTGTTTTTTGTGTCTGTGTGTCTTGTCATGGTTTTTTTTATTTATTTGGTTGGTTGGTTTGCCTTTTTTTTTTTTTTTTTTTTTTTTTTTTTTTAGGTCTAGCGAAGTCAACCAGTAAAGTTTTCTTCTCCATTTGCTAGCCCTAATTTTAACTTTGTTCTCTTGGAAGAAGACAACTCTCTTGGCAGATTTGAGTTACCAGCACTGAGCACTGTAGTAGTTTTCACTGGGATCTTCCATGTGACACTCAACTCCTTTTATTAAATTTCTTATCTGAATGTAACATTGACAACCAGTCACACTGGGCCTCTGTGTCAGACTTTGAGTGCAGGTTTTCATTGTCTATATATAAAACTATAAAGTTTTAATAGCTGTGATTTCCTAAGTAGAGTGCCTGCACAGCAAACCCTGTGACTTAACCAGACAGTGTGGTTCCTTTGCTTGTCTTTTAATGAAAAAAAAACCCCCTCAAATACTATCAAACAGAATAAAGCATAGTTTAAGAAACCTTAAAGATGTCATCGTTTGGCCTTTCTTTGATAAGAATTCCATTCTGTATGTACAATATTAAATTCTACTGACTTGACGGTGGTTTTTAAAATCTCTTTCTTCATGGAACACTTTGGACTATGCTTTCAGCAAGCCTTGAAGGCTTTCAGGCCGGCAGGCTTTCTCTGGCAACAATCCCTATTCCTTTAGATGAGCTTCCTGCCAGAATTTGGAATTGGCAGCAGTAAACTGAAACAGGAAGTAGACATCTGAAAGGTAAAGAGCAATTATTTACTGCAGGGTCTGAAGAACAGTGAGCTGCGCTTTGATTCTGTTACCAGTCCAGCACATCTTAAAACAGTTTGACTCTCCGGCTCAATTTTTCTCAACTTGAGTAAATTCAGGCATAGTAATGTATCTTCAGGTCTCAGGAAAATGGAGCATGTGGTTGTCTTTCAAAGTGTGTTATAAGTTTGATTTGAACTTAGGTGTTGTGTTTAGTAGCTAAGGTGGAGAACATGTATTTGAAAATATGTGAGTTTGAATTCAGAAATGGGGCAGAATGCTTAACCTAATGTTTGATTTCCATGTCACCTGAATGGCAAAGTGCATGGAGGTTTGGGGGGCTTTCCTTTGCCTCACTGATGTTTTTGATGTTTTCTAGTCTAGAGCATGGCAAGATAGAGTGCAAGAGCTTGAGGACAGCTTGGCCAATGAACGGGAAAACTGTCACAAATTACTGTCTGAGAAAGAGAGAGAAATGTCCGAGTTAAGAAATAAGGTGCAGGAGCAGCTGAACGAGTATGAACAACTTCTGGATATTAAACTGGCACTCGATATGGAGATCAGTGCATACCGGAAATTACTGGAGGGTGAAGAGGAGAGGTATGACAGAATGCAGCAACAAATGCTGGTATCTGTGTGCTTTCCTTACTTGTTCCGTTCTCTGATAAAAGGTAGTTCTCACTGGTAATGTATTTATTAGGTGCTTTACTATAGTTTCCAAGGCACTGTTTGTTTTTGCGCCATCATTCTGATGCTTCTAAGTCTCCATGAAACCAGGCTGCTCAAGTACCAGACCAATAGCTCTCAAGGGAACAAATACCATTCGTTTATTAAGATTTTTTTATTAAGCACTGAGGATATAATGAATTGTTATTTTTATGAAGTAATTTTTACGTCTGTTTGGTGCCATGCTTAATACTCTTTTTCAAAGTCAATTAAAGGGCTACTGTTTAATTACAAATTACAGGGCAAAATCTGTTTAAGTATAGAATAATTTTAATAAAGTTTTAATAGCTGTTTGCCTAGCTTATCAGCTAGTTGCATTTTCCACATCTGACCCCAGAGTTCAGCAATACTGAAAATTTTACCTGGTAAGTCACAGCTGTCACTTGAAAGTATTTTGACTGTTTTCTGAATGGCATCCTAATGATCCAGGCTGATTTCCCTCAAGTGTGGGGATGAGACAGAAAAAGTTTTTGCCTCTGGGTTTTTGCATGAATTTTCTACATTGGCTTAAGTCCCCCTAAAAGTGTTTTCTGAACTTGTGCCATCTACCCAGGAATGCAGTCCTTTAACAAATGGATAGAGGTGCCTTTATGATCTTTATGTAGCAGGCCTTACAGAATTCTATGCTCCAAAAGTGTTAATAAGCTGTTTGACAACATAGCATTCAATTCTCCAAAAAGTACCCAAGGCTTCACTTTTTCATGTAGCACAGTTTAACATGTTTCTGTAGCTTTTTGCTCTGTAATTCTGTGGAAAGAAGAGAAGAGAGGGAAGTTTATAAAATAAAAAAAATGTAGAAAAAGTAAAACCAAAATGTGATGTATGTGTATTTCTTCCTTCAATAGATTGCAACTTTCTGCAAGCCCATCTTCCCGAGTGACCGTTTCACGGGCTTCATCAAGCCGTAGTGTGCGCACAACCAGAGGGAAGAGGAAGAGGATTGATGTGGAGGAATCTGAAGCTAGCAGTAGTGTTAGGATTTCTCACTCAGCTTCTGCCACTGGAAATGTCTCTATTAAGGAGATAGACATTGATGGAAAGTTCATCCGCTTGAAGAACAACTCTAGACAGGTTTGAAGATGCACACATATATAATGGGCTGATCAGAGACAGAAATCCTTGGCTTTTAGGTTTTGTGTTGACCCTTGGACCATATTTTGTTTTCTAAGAAGCCTGCTTTCATTCTGTGCTTAAAAAAATATTACATATTTGTAAGGGGATTTTAATATTTATGTGTTTTTTCTGGACCAGGCAGTAACAAAACTGTTGTAAATTATAAATATGTAATATGTTCATGTAACTTCAGAACTGAAAAGCGGGTTGCATTAAACTTTTAGAAGACAAACCTATCATTATTCTAATTGGCATGTTGAAGATCAAGTGATAAGAAATTTTTATTGAAAATTTTATGTGCCTTATGGCCTTATGTAAAATACCCTACATGTGTACCAGAAAATGACTGCTGATGGAAAGCTTTTTCTCCTTTTCATTAGGATCAACCTATGGGAGGTTGGGAGCTGATCCGAAAAATAGGAGACACTTCTGCGATTTACAGATATACCTCAAGATACATACTAAAGGCAGGCCAAACTGTTACAGTAAGTTGTCAAGCTTCAGCTGTTCAGTTGAAATGGACTTCAGGCTGACTTGTGTATGTCAATAAGATACAAGGTTTTCAGTTTCGTGCTTTCTATGCACACGTTCAGAAAATAATCACCTGGATTTGTATTGGGCATTATTTTATCCTTCGCTTTGAAAAAGTTGGACAGAGCTATGATTTTCAGAAACTTGCTTCCTATATGGAGTAATAATTTTGATCATAAAGAGGTGCACTTCCATATTCAAAAGTGTCTACATTAAAAAACAGGGGTGGATTTCTTATTGTGAGAAACTCTAGAAGTAGGTAAGCAGAGAGTTGGTTTTTTTTTTTTTTTTTTTTTTTTTTTTTTTTTTTTTTGTTTTTTTTTTTTTTTTAAATGAGAGGAGGTTCACTAGTGTCACTTAAATAGACCACATTAACTTTTAAATTAACATGACCAGCAGGTCAAAGGAGGTGATCCTGCCCCTCTACTCTGCTCTTGTGAGGCCCCACTTGGAGTATTGTGTACAGTTCTGGTGTCCTCAACATAAAAAGGACATGGAGCTGTTGGAGCAAGTCCAGAGGAGGGCCATGAGGATGACAAGAGGACTGGAGCACCTCCCATATGAAGACAGGCTGAGAAAGTTGGGGCTGTTCAGCCTGGAGAAGAGAAGACTGCGTGGAGACCTCATAGCAGCCTTCCAATATCTGAAGGGGGCCTACAAGGATGCTGGGGAGGGACTTTTCATTAGGGACTGTAGTGGTAGGACAAGGGGTAATGGGTTTAAACTTAAACAGGGGAAGTTTAAGTTAGATATAAGGAAGAAGTTCTTCACAGTGAGGGTGATGAGGCACTGGAATAGGTTGCCCAAGGAAGTTGTGAATGCTCCAACCCTGGAGGTGTTCAAGGGCAGGCTGGAGGGAGCCTTGGGCAACGTAGTTTAGTGTGTGGTGTCCCTGCCATGAGGTTTGGAACTAGATGATCTTAAGGTCCTTTCCAACCTAACTATTCTATGATTATAAATAACATGGAAATGTATAAGACTAGCAGATGATGCTCAAATATGACTTCTTTTAAAGATCTGGGCTGCAAATGCTGGAGTAACTGCTAGCCCTCCCACTGACCTCATTTGGAAGAACCAGAATTCTTGGGGCACTGGTGAAGATGTGAAGGTTGTACTGAAAAATTCTCAGGGAGAGGTAAAGTACTTAAGCTGCGTTAAAACTTGTCTTTGTGTGGTGCCATCCCTTATAAAGATGAAGGTAGAGCCATTTATTAGGACTTTATGCATGGATGCACATGAGTGTTTGCTAAAGTTTTCTCCTTTTGCTTTCCATCCAGTCGTACTGTATCCTTGTCTGTCTCTATTGCAGTTTAGGAATGCAGTCTACTGAAGTGTGTGAATTGTTTTCCTTTTATTGAGTACAAGTAGTAGAAGAATGACTCGTTCAGACAATGACTTCATACCAGGCATTGGTCACTGCCTTGAAATATGCTTTGAAAAGTGTTGTGTTATACTCTTTTAAATCAGTAAGGTATTTAAAAGCTAAGGTGTTAGAAGTGCTGTTTATGCACAGCAGTACATAAAAAGTATATAGACAAAATCAGTACAAGGAGCTTTACTAACAGGTGGAATTCCCATTGCTCAAAATCTAAGTAGATTAGCACCAAATATTTAGAGGAATCAAGTCTTCAAAATAAAACTCTGTTGCAGGAGGTTGCTCAGAGAAGCACTGTCTTTAAAACAACCATACGTGAAGAGGAAGAGGAGGAAGCTGAGGAAGAAGCAGCTGAAGCTACGGAGAAGCAAGGCCTTTATTACCAGCAGGTATCTTGTTTTAGATTAACAAGGTTATACATCTGTTTTCTCAACCTGAAGTCATGAATTTTCTGGAAAATACTATACCTGTTAGGGTGTGGATATTTGTTCATTTTGGATTTGTTTTATCAGTAATTTGATGAAAGCATGACGCTGTGTTACTAAAACCAATGTAAAAATACTACTTCACACATTCCCTTGATGGAGGGAAGTGAATTTTTCTTAAAGTTTTAAAGATTTCAGGATTTTCTTTTTTTTTTTTTTTTTTTTTTTTTTTTTTGTCCCCTCCATAAACTGTGTTCCTGATAAACTTCCCGCAGGCCAATTGTTTTAGTTAAGTTTGGCCTTAGCAGGAACACCTAAATATATCTAAAGTTTTAAGAACTGAAATATCTCATTTTCTGATAGAGGAAATGAGAGATTGAGGACACTATCAGAAAAAAATATCTTGCATCCTGAAGAAATGCAGCGGTGAGTGGAAAGGTATGAAATTGCAGTGAACACGAAATATTCTATTAAGGGAAAATACTGAAATACAACATACTTTATTGTTCATATTCTGTGTTTTATCCGTTACCTTTCCATTTTGACTAGTTCTTCTAAAAAGAGAGAAAAAGGAATGTAAGAAGTCTTAAGTTTCTGTAATGCAGTCGTTCAGGTTTGCTGCTTTGCTTAAAACTTGCCCACATTTCAGTTAGTACATATCTTAAAGTCAGTTAGAAAAGATAATATACATCAATAATTAAGTGTGCATATGTAAACAGACAAACATTGGAGAGAGTCGACTGTGTTGGAAATAATATTTTTTGGCAATTGTAGGTTTTGGCCTATAATTTTCAATAGAGCCAGATTTTTATTTAGATTTATGATTTATTAAATTTATTATTTAATAGACTCCTAACTTCTAATAGAGTTAGGATTTTATTGCAGTGGCATTAATAGAGTCAGGGTTTTATTGCAGTTATACTAAAGTACTGAAGTGCATCCTTCTGCACTTCCGGTTTCTGGGATTGTGTAGTTCAGCTAAAGTGTGTGTTTTAGTAACTTTACTCATAAAAATGTTATAGAGAGATTAGATTTCTTTAGATTAAAACTCACAAGGTACTTGTATGTGCTCCCTGCAGTTTTCACCACCTGTCTAAACTCAATGATGCTTCTTGATTTGAGATGCAAATAAAATAATTTAAGCTGTGGTTTTTTGTTTTTGTTTTTTTTTCTGGTACCTGTCCTCTGTTACCTCTCACAGGAAATGGTGTCTATCATTTTTTTACCTACAGGGTGCAATAGACTGTACAAGTTTGCATGCTGACTCTTGCTTACACTGTGCCAGGCTAATAATTTCGTAGATTAAAAATGTAACATATATTGTTTAGAGTTGCTCAATCTTCTGCTGCTTGGATTTTTGGTTTTGTTTTTTTTTTTACTTCAAAGGTGACTCTTTCTATTCTTAACAGGCAAGCTCGAAGGCATCTAAGAGAAGCTGTGTGATCATGTAAACTTCCAGTCAGCCAGGTTCCTCAAATTACAGTAATCATTATCTGCAGAACAGAGCCTGCTCATAAGCACAACATAGTTTTGTATTTTCTGTATGTGAACCTTTAAGCTGCAAGTCTGATGGCCTTAATTTGCTTTGTCAATGAAAAGGAAGTTTTGTACAAGAAATATCTGTAACTTTCTTGCAGGATGTGAATTGTTGACTCTGAACAACGTACTGTTTGAAAAATGATGTCCCTGTCCCCCAGATTTATATGCCAGTCCTTTTTTATTGAAACCTTGCTGGAATAGAAATATTCCACTGTTTTGGGGATCGATTTTTCTTAGATTATACCACTTTAGATTAGTCAGTTGCTGTTGACCTCTTTATAGTTAGGTGCTGTTGGGGAAGGGGATACTGTGATACTATGAATCCTTTTATACTAGAGTCTTTTTTTCCCTCCAGTGCAATCAAGGCTGTAAGACTTTTTCTACAGAAAAGAACAGCTTTGTTTTAACAAACAAAAACAAAAAACAAATCCAAACAAGAGAAAGCCCAAAACAAAAGCAAGCAAACACACACACACAAATATATAGCCTCATGAATGCTATGAATGCATTCAGAGGATGAAGGATGCGGTGAAACTCCTTATAGGTACTCTTTTCCTTTATTTAGATTTCTTATTCTGGAGGAGGATTCATGTTGAATGTGTTAGATGTGTTGTTAAGATATTGTAACCAGTTTAAATTTTCTCAAACTATTTTTTTAGCAAGTAGAGAACTTTTTTAATATGGGTTGTCTTGCTTACGATTTGTAAGAACAAAACTAAGGCTTTTCGGGGTCTAGTCCACATTTGTATAGAAACCCATTTCAATTTTGTCAATGTAGAACGTTTTTCTGTCTTTCCTGCATTAATGTAATGTCTGAAAAAGTTTCAAATAAAGTATTTGTTTAAATTGTCAAGTAAAGCTTTGGAATTTTTTTCTTCCTAGAACAGAGCTAAAAGTTTGAATGAGGGTTGAATACTTAGAACAGACAGGCTTTGGAGCTGTAAATGGAACGTCCAGTGTAAGTGGAACATTGGCAATTGATTCCACACACCTTAAAACCCTCCCCCCCCCATAATAGGTAACAACTTCATGTTTGTAAAATTCCTTATTCAGGCTCTGTTGAATAACTATTTCTCCATTATCTTTGCTTGTCTTAATTCTTACTGGACTGACTTTTGCATCATATGAGTACCAGGCTGACCAGTTTAAGCATGGCACAGTAACATAAATAGAAATTTAGAAATACTATAAATAGTTATCTTTATCTTAGCCTGAAAGTATTTTTAAATGCATGGCCAGAATTTTAAAAGTTGACTTGAGCTTTTTCCTTGTATTAGTATCATGATGAATTTAAGATTTTTTTCAGTTTTTTTAGCATGTCTTTCATCTTGGACAAGTTCTGTTTTCTGGTGAATTATGTGGTGGCATTTCAACCTTGTGCCAGCAAAAGGTGAGGGGGGACTTGCCAAGAGTTATGTAAATGGATGAGTAGGACTGCTACTTTTGACAGTAATGCTGGTTTAAATAACTGCATTAAACCCCAGTGTAGTACTTGTTTTAATTTCCTGTTTATATTTGAATATTTACATAGTATAAACATTTTCATGTCTTTGAAGCATCATCTGTACCTGTAATATTCTGAATAATCTTCAATTTGATCTGTAGGAATAATGGCTTTCTGTCCATTGTCTTAAATACCTGTAAGCATATACCATATAAATGAATACTATATTGTAGGAAATAGTTAATTCTACTCCTTATTTGCTGTTTTTCAAAACTAATAGCACAGGCTAGTGATACATTCCAGAGAAGACGTGATTTGCCCAGTAAGATAGGACTGGGCAAATCTCAGTAATAAAGAAAAATACTTTGCATGTAGGCATTGGGTACTTAATTCTTAATTCATAATAGGAATCTGCCAGTGTAATCAAGCATTTTTGGTTACAGCTTACATATGAACCTATTTCTTGTCACCAGGATGATTAACAGTGCTGTAACTCTTACCTGAATGTGTAGTTAGAAGCTGCTACTTGAAACTCATTTTCTCCGTAGTGAGGTTTTTACATGAGTCTTATGAATGTTTTGATAAAACGGCACTCTTCTGATGGATGAAAATGAGAGAAATCATGATTTTAGGGAAACAGTTGTGTTGTTGCAAGTATTTCTGTAAGCTAGAAATAAAGAGGCTTGGGAAACGCATGACCCTTCTGAGGTGGGTGTGCGGGTATGTGTTCACGTTAAGCTTTAGGGTATAACATTTTACCACCTGGTGGCGATCTTGCTATTCAAATATTAAAACCAAAAAACCTCCACTAACCCAAAACTTCTTATACTCCCCTGCGAGTTCCACAGTAACTTTTGAAAGTTCCTGGTTTCTTGAACAGAACAGTTTCTTTTATCCTACCTCTTCCCACACTGAAGTCCAGAAGTGCATTTTGATTACTGCAAAGCAGGTTGGGCCTTTCATTGCTGTGTTGAAACAGCAGTCTCAAGGTTGTGGAGGGGTATGCATTATGACACTATGCAGCAAATGCAAATTCTTATGGCAAAACTATTTTTTTTCTTTCTTCTCCTCTGTCACACAGTGTGTGAGTTCTTGTTCCTTTTAGTTTGGAACTGTGTTCAAAATACACCACCTTGGCTGTCGTGCTTACTGGCATAATTACACCAGTCTGGGTGAGAGAAGTCACACTAATGGATTTGGTAAAGGTAACTAACCACTGAAAAACGAGCTGAATGGCTATATGCAATGTTGTGTGTAATTTGTTCATGTTTTCTGGAGGTTGTTAGATAATGAGTCAGAGAAGAAGCAAACAATATCCTAGTTAGCTGTATAGATGTATTCAACTTGTGATTAAAACTTTGGTAGGTCTTTTTATTACTACTGTTAAAGTAATATGTAAAAGATTACTTTTAGGTATATGCTATCTTTTCTGGAGTTGGCAATGGATATGGATGATCATTATCTGACATTGATGTTTCACAGTTGACAAGAGATAAAAATTGTATTGCTCTGGCAGGTGAAAACTGTTCAGTAACTTCTGCTGGCAGCTGGGAAAACACTACCAGAAATGTGTCTGCTCAAATACACTTATTCCATGAAAACCAGAGTAATAATCTGTTTAGGAAAAAAGTGGTTAGGCTTGCACAACACCAGTATGATGGAACACTCCTGAGGCAAGGAATTAATTCCTGTTTCTTAGGAAGTTTGATTTTTGGGTCTGTGCATAGCACAAGCAGCAAACCTCTGAAGTCCACTCTTTGTTTATAGTGGATAAGTTTATTAATAATCCCCAGTATAATCACTGTCGCTCTGTGGAACAAATTATTTTACACAGTGTAGTCAATTGTAGCCCTGTGCTACAGATTGTCTTATGCCTTTGACTTCTTTATCGCTGCTGCATCACATTTGCCTAGGCAGACAGCAAAACATAGGAAGAGAAATGAATGTGTAAATAATGTAAATACTTTTTCTGTTCAATAGATGTTATTTATTCATTTGCCTGCTTATGTAAGAGATGCAATTTAAAATGCTGGTCTTGCATTTTCATAGAGAAATGTAACTGTCTTGAGCATACAATTTTGATCCTAATTCAAGCATTTTATGGGGAAACTCCAAATCTGTGAGACAGTGCCTTTTATATTCATAGTGTAAGCAGAATAGGTACTTCTAGTAGAGAAAAAAAAAGAGGAAAAATTCAGTTGCTTTTGCAGAAATGGCTACATGTTATTTGACTATGAAGCATTTTTCTCCAGGCAAAGAAACTAAGCAGTTGATGGGAAATAGAACATGTAAAGCTGTTGTCCCAGGTAGGACAACTAGGACTGAGGTGATTTTTTTTTTTTTTTTTTTATTTTTTTTCATAAAGGGCATGGAGGCTATGTGTGGTGGATATGAATGCATATTTAGCCTTCCCTGGTATATGACAGTTAACCTCAAGGAAACACTGGGACACTTCCTAGATCCATCATAGGATTATACCAAAATTAACTCTTTTATCTCAGGTTTTCCTTAGTGTGCATTAATTGCTTTGAGTCTGCTGCTGCCGTCCTCTGGTTTCCTTTTATGGGTTTGCATAAATACATGACGTGTCTGTCTGATTAACCCCAAAGAAATAAGAGTTACATGTGCTGGCATCGAAAAAAGGCATGTTTCAATTTAAACTGATTGTTTGATAGGATTTTCCTATGGTTACCAATTAATTCCTGGGAGTGAATTTTCATAGCTGGTTTGGCTGTTGCATTTTGTGAATGGAGAAGATTATTGGCAAGCAAGTCTAACCTTCTCTGTAGCGTAACTCATGGAATGAAACCAATGTTCATTTTCTCTGCAATGGTAGCATTTTTTTTTTTTTCTGAAGGTGGTGTGTTTTGTTGGTGGTGTAATGGGATGTTGTTGACAGAATGTCAACATTACTTCTGGTTTTTTAACAAGTTTTACTGGGAAGGTATTTTGTACACTTAGGACAAAGTTGAAGAAAAATCACAATCAGTTCCAGAACCTCTCGAGATGAAAGAGACGGGGAAAGATGTTTTGTAACATTGCCACAATCAGGGGTAAAAAGCTGTCAGTAAAAAAACCTTAGGAACTGAAAGCAGTCACAAGTACTGACAAACTTGGCAGCTGCTGAGAGATGTAACTCTCATTAATTTTTGAAAAAGCTTTTTACGTGACAGTGCCCGTGGAAATCAAATTTGAAATGTGGAATAACAGCAATGTGTTAATATGCAGTGTGGTGTCATCATCAGTAATATTCTATATACCAGTACTGTAGGCTGGCTTCTTTTATGGGCCTGGTAGGTATTCATAAAGCTAGGGGCCTCTGTTGTACATTTTGCATTGTCTAATAGTTTTTAAAGATACTTTTGAATACCGCAAACCAGTATTTGGCAGTAAATAGGCAATACTGAATTCTTCTTGCAAGGCAAATGCTTGTTTAATTAACCAGCTGTGTGTTAAATAGAGGTTGGTCTTATAAACAGTAACGGATGAAGAGCTTAATTTTAAACAGTTATTTTTTCTTAAACTTACCTTCACTTGAAAGGAAGTGCTTTCGGGCTCTTTCAGTACCTGTTTTTTTCAATAGCTTTTCATTTCTCTTCCTGATGGCGTCCATCACATCAAAGGCCTCTTACATATGTTGGCCCTGGTTCTCTTTATGTGCTGAGTTCATACATTGCCCTGTGTGACTTCATACTGTGAAACTGATGGGAAGTTGTTCTTAATAGATGAAATGTAAGTGACAGTTTGAAGTCTCAGTCTGGGAGAACTATACAGTTGAGTTAAAAAAAAAAAAGCAACCGACAAACAGAAAAAAAACAATGCCTAAAACCAACCTGAAGTGTCTTTAATCCTGCTCATGATGTGACTTCCAGCTGAACAGAAGGCTGTGGTATTTCTAAATCATTAATTATATCCTCCTGTATTAGTTTACCCATTGAATGTGCTTTCCGCCCTTTCTTCCTAAGTGGTTTACACTGCTACTTCTGCTGTTCTATTCTTCTCAATACAATAGCAAGTAAGGAGTAGCATAGCATCCTGCTGTGGATCTCTTACCTTTTCAGCATCAGCGTTTTTTAAAATACCATTTTTTTTAAATTTTAAAATTTTTTCTTTTTTTTTTTGTTTGGTTTTTTTTTTGTATTTTAAAATACCACTGCTTAACGTTACTTTAATTTTCTCTTTTGTTTTTCTCTTTTCCCTGCAAGACTAGTCTATGTAGCAGAAGTAAAATTTCCTTGCTTTGCATTGTACTCATCCCTAATACTGAATTGTAGTGGACTCTGTCTAGGCTTATACACTGACCATGGCATCTCTGTCATCAGCAAGCAGGATGTGAAGGGAAGGAACAAAACTGTATTATGTCTGCAGCTTCTAGAAGGTTTCTTTGTCTGGCTTATGTTGCTTCTGCTTTTAACAATTGCTGCTAAAAATACTGGTTTGAATACTACTGCTATGTAACTTCTTACATGGAAAAGGAATGTAAATGGCAAGGCCAGCTGCATGAGAGGAAAGTATAATGTTACTGAGAAGAAAATCAAATTGTATCATTAAAAAAAGAAAAACACCCTCCCCCATCCTTTCACTAGTTAATTTACTTCTGCTTAACTGGAGCTCTTTAAGGATAGCATAACAGATGCCATTGTACTACCAGGAGCTTTGCTAGCTATAGTTACTGCTGCAGTTGATTTTGTCTTTCACATCTAATCAGACAAAAATGAATATTGCTGCAGATGTAGAATACTGGTTGTAATGATCCAGTTCTAAAGTTTTTAATAAAAATTCGGACTTTGTGTGGCAACAACAGCCTCAACTAGTGGAAGAAAAGGTAATCCTTGTCAGGAGGGGAGCTTTCTATCTGCAAGTCTTCAGAACAGAAATGGGAATAAGAATTAGTGTCACCCACCGTCCTGTTATATTCTAGGAAAAACAAGGAAGAATATGAAGTCTGCTTTCTTCCATGGGTTTACTGCAAAAGGCTAAGAGTGTGACTGCATATGTTTTTGTTGTGGTTTTTTTTTTTTTCCTCCTACCCCCTCATCAACCTCTCCCCCCCAAAAAAAAGTAAATGCATGGGAGACTATTCCAAGTGATGACTTTGTCTTTTTGCTGTACTTGTGCACCAAGCTGAGAAGCTGAAGGAGTGATGTATGTGCTAAATTAGACCATGCTTTCTCTCTGGTTGCTTCAATATGCCTTCCTCAGACTAAATAAGCTATCTTTAAGCAAAAAATGATACTTGAAATAGCACAGGAAAGCATGACCAAGTCAGTGTGCTGATCTGTGTACCTTGCAGCTTGATTTAAATAATTGTTTTTTTAGTTGCTGTGTAATTCTGTATCATCCTAATTTAAAATCAAGAATAGTAGTTAGGAGTAACACCTCTTTCATGGGCCAACTTTTTAGGGTATGTCCAAAGGAAGCAAAAGTAGTAATATAATTTTGAAGAATACTTACCTAAAGCAAATATGCAGGAATTAAAAAAACTGTTTGTATCCTGACCCAGCTAGACTTGCTTTATTTCTACGCCTCTGGGTAGCAGGTGTACTTTTAATCTGGAATTCTCTGCATATGTGAATGTTCAGTCTTCTATCCAGTTATCTGCCTTTGCAAAGCAGGTTTAAAAAAGAGTGCTACAGGTTTTAACCATCAGAGTTTGTGGTATCGAGGTCTTAGGAATCCTCTATGGTCTTCTCTGGAAGAGAAACAGATATTCGCTGCCAAACATGAGCAACCCCAGACCTTAGTGTTAGACTAATAAGTATAAATCTGCAGGCTCATGGTTTTCTTGCACATCTTGGCTTGCTTTGAAACTAATTTTATCTCTGATTGAGGCTGTTACTGCTTTATATAGGTGATTATTGTATCCCCATGAAATCCAATTACAAAGAATATTGTTAAATAACATGACTACAGCTAGACTGGTCCAAAACCAGAATGAAGTGAACTGATTGGTTTTATGTGCTAAGCTTTCTCTCCCATAGAGCACACACAACATCAAATGATCTCATCTGATGATAAAGACCATAATGCCTTGAACTGTCTGAATTTATAAACTATTAGCCTTCTTGCTCTGTTACTTTTTATTTTTAGTTCCTGCGGAGTTTGGGGAAAAAAAGCACATGGTGGCATTGCCATGAAATTCTGTGTAGTTCTGTAAAATAAGTCTCTCTAAGTGTATGTGTCTTCTTAAAGTGAAGAATTCCTGAATGAATTGGGAGTAAAACCAACAGGAAATAGTTAATGCCATCCAGGAGTAGAGTCTAGTCTTTACACTGCAAATTCAGTTTGCTCACCATAGTAGGTTATTACATTCTTTTTAAAAAAGTACCTTAGTCTGAGTGCTGCAACAAGAGGTCAAGGCTTACATACACTCTGATATATCTACCTGTCAAGCTGAGAATATTGCAGCTTTAAAATAGTGCTAATTTTTATGCAAGACAAGTTCCTGCTTCCCAAAACATGCCTAATGACCTCATTCATTATGTATGCAGACTTTTCTTTACAAAAATAAGTCTTACATTTAGGGTTAAATTCAGCTTGGTGTAAATGCAGAGAAAAACAGGTAAATTTTAATTCGCACCAGCAAAATGGGTGTTTCAGTACAGAATGAGTTTCCCAATTTGTTGCTTCTAAGTGGAAAAAGTGCAACTAATTCCTGCCCC